AACTACGTTACGGCAATCTCTCTAATTCCCTCTAGGTTACATTAATGCCATGGACCCTCGATACCCCCTTGGCGTCCGAGTTTTTCTCAAAACCCTATAATCAAAACTTATTCCCAAAGCCCCTTTTTCTTTCGTTTCAAATCAATTCCCCTTTTTCATATCTAATGATATACATGTATGTCTCATGCTTTCTAATGCTATGACAATAAGGGGTTTCCATACTACACGAATTAATATGCCTCCACATAGCAAGTTCTAGTAAGATAATAAACATAATAGGTATAGAAAATTAACACTTAGGCATGATTCATACAAATCAACTATTACACGCAATTGTATGCTTCATATACACAATTAAGTCATTTAAAAGAAAATTCAACACATTTAGGCATGCTAGACATCAATCACATAGAATTGACTTACAAAAGCATGAGAATGTATAGATTAGAGACCCCTACCTCAAGCTAGATGAAAAACCCCAATTTAATGCCCAAATTCAAATTTCCTAGGGTTGGCCAAATGAGAAATTGCTTACATCAATGCGTAGATCACGACAAGCTCTCCATTTTGTCGTAAACGGCAACCAAAAACTCCAAAGAATAAAAGAGTAATCAAGGATTGAAGTTTGCTTTGAAAAAGAAAAAGAAAAATGATGAAATGTGAGGGAAAGAGAGAACTTACGAGTAGAGAGAAAGAATGAGGCCAAATTGGTCTCTTGGCCACTAAAATAAAATAAGTGGTGGGTCCCATCACTTAGAAATATCTTCGCTTTTTCTTCTTTATATAAATATACATGCTAATTAATTTCCAAATATCTTCGCTTTTTCTTCTTTATATAAATATACATGCTAATTAATTTCCAACCACACAAAATAGCACACAACCATATGAATATGTACATAATAATTATGCATGGCAAGCAAATAATCCGAGACACAACTCCTGTGCACAAGAATCCCGGTAGCAGCTCCTACCCGGGACCGTCCATCTCGAAAAATGGAAAAATGCTGAAAAGACAACCATTGCATTTCAAAGAGTCTTGAACTCAATGAAATGTCCCAACCAACTTTTGGACACACCCGGCACACCCTATAGTATTCAGTACGCAAAACGAGAAAAGATTTTGCAAAAACAGAAAATTCCGAAAAATAGAAAATGGTGAAAAAACAGAAATATTACAAAGTGTTTTCTTATTTATTCCTTACTTTGATGAAAAGTGAAATTACGGTTACTAAAAGGAAAACTGGCCATCTCTCTATTTTTATAAAAGTGCATATATCCCATCAATTATGTACGTTAATAAAACACCACATTATAATGTTTATGTGTACAAAAAGCTAAAAGAAAAAAATCAGTTTTCACGTTTTGCCTATTGTTTGGAGTTGCAGGTTAGTTCGTTATTAAAGAATCTTGACGTTGGACTTAATCTCAACGAGATTTGTAATCACAAGTCGAAGTATTTATATTTAACTACTTTATTTATGCATTATAGATACGTGAAAATAATGAAGTTGTTAGATATTATAATTCATATTTATTTGTAATTAATGTTTAAGATAAATTATTAAAGTTTACGCTTGCCATGAATGGTGTGAATGAAACTGATCTCATTCCGATCAGTGACAACTCGTTAGCATTTCTCAAGTTGATAAATGTTTTGTTAATTAGTAACTGACACACGCTTATAGATATATTATTTTGTTTGTGTGTGGAGGAGAATGTAACAGCAGAGTTGAGTAAAAGAGTGAAACATCTATAGTTCTGCGTTCTTAATGCAGTGTTTCTGTTTTTCGGAATGTTGCTTCCATACAGTGTTGCTATCATCTAACAAGACTCAATTACAGCATACCTAGCCTATTTCTGACACTTGCATCAATCAATGTGTCAATACTCAAAACTTTTTAGTACACTATATTTTTTCGGAAATGAATAATCCCTCGAGCAGTGTTAAGAGAGGAATGAAGGTATTCCTTTACCCCCTCTTTAAAACACACAAAATAATAAAAAATAATACTACATAATAAAATAAAAATAAAAATTAATAATAATAAACTTAAATAAGAAAAATGAAAAGATTAGATAGGACATTTAGGTTGACAGACTCTTCTCCTAGAAGTATTAATGGTGACAGTGTTTCAACAATCATGAAACCGATTCTGTTTTTCTTTGCCCGCCACAAATTGAAAAAGGTATCAGAAAGGATTGCAGTAATTATCTCTACCTGCTTGAGTTTGTTCACACTGTTTGAATTTTTTCTTAACTGGTCAAATATTCCGAATCACCATTAAAAGCTAAATACTTGTAGTTGTAGCAAGATTTTAATTACTAGAAAGTTCAATTTCAACAAGAAACAGAGCAATTCAGTACTGCAAGAATATAAGTCATGAATATATTGAGGGAGACAAATCAACTCATCTTCATACTGAAGGAGAGAAACAATTAGTCGTGTGTGGATGGAAAAATCTCCCAACGCATTACAATCAACTACGTCAGCAGATACTGTGCACTACTTCTCTTGGGTCACCCAACTTTGAAGGCCCAACTTGATAAGCCCAAAGCAGTCATCTTTTGTCTCTCAGCTTAGTTATAGGGCAAGTCAAATCTGCATCTCCGGCCCAACACATGGCCTAGTACAAATAAGGATCGGCGACTTGGGTCCATCATGCAATCACACAATTAAAGGAATCTAGAAGGAGCCTTGTATGGAACAAGTTTCATATGAAAGAATTGCACAATGAAACCATTAACTGTGGACAAATAGCGGGGGAAAGCAATTAATGCGAGTTATACCTCAATTACACCACTAAAAATTATATAAATAGAGGCACTAAAAATTATATAAATAGAGGCATAGGCTCCAATAAAGATATACATTAAAACCTCAATCTCTACATTACATTAATTTTGATTAATTTAATGAAAAATGATAAGGAGGTCGAAGGATAATCTCGAAAAACGATCGAATCTAACATGGAGCCATCTCTAAAACTTCTTACGCGTGAAGAGTAAAAGAGGCCAAGCCATCTCTAAAACTTCTTGCGCGTGAAGAGTAAAAGAGCTATCCCGTGCTTAGCTCATCCCCAAAAAATAAATTGAAAAAAAAAAAATTGTTTGAAAAGAATAGAGAAAGGTAATGGAGTCATGGACACTGTGAAGATGACTACAATAAGGTGAGTATATACAAATAGAAATATATATATATATACACACACACACAATTACATATATGTCGGTAATAGATCATAAATATTCAAAGATTTTTTTTTTTACAAATTTCTAAATAGATTTAGATATCACTCAATGATCTGATTTTAAGAATTACATGATCATCTAATATTCGAATCACACAAATTTATCTAGGGTTTTGAATCAGTTTTCTTCTCTAACAACAATTCAATTGGTATAGTGATTTAATTTGATGTATTTACTTCGTGTAAATTATAAAATATACCAATTATGAAAAAAAAAAAATTCTAAAATATATTACATAACAAGATAAAGATAAGTAGATTCCTAAAAAAAGAATAATTTTGGAGACTTCTGAATTTTACGGTTTTCCTTTTCACAATATACAATCACCTTTCCACCTTCTTTTTTTCTTATTTTTTTATTTATTTCTTTTATCGATAGGCTCTTTTGCTCCCTCACGCAAGAGGGGTGAGAATCTGACGTAGCAAGCCAAGTCTCGGTGATTAATTCGGGGATACCTTTCGATTCCCTCTAATTTAATTGAGTGTGGTGTTTGGTTTTAGGTGCATAGTTTTTCATTTTCTGGGGATCTGGACTCTGTTTTGTACCCAGCAGCGCAGTATCACAAATTGGCATGTGATTATAATTCAATAAATTCGTTACTACACCAAAGATTTTTCTGCAAGTTGAAAGAACTCAGTAACATTATCTCAATGGCAAAATCCCAACCAAATTAGATGATACAGATATATGTAGTTTGGGAAACCAATTTGAAGTTGAAGTTGAAGTTGAAGTTGGATCAATTGTGGTTGGATTTGCATAGAATGGAGGGAATATAGTAACTTCAAAACATCATGATGAAAACACCCCAAAAAAAAAAAAAAAAAGAGTTAATATAATTATTGAAGTTTTATAACCACTAAGTTGCATATTACAAATTTCCGAAAAAAAGAAAGAAAAAAAGTTGCATATTACAAGCAAATATCAGACAATACTGATATAATTGACAAAAGAACTATCCAAGTTGTTACAACTTGGGAACTAAAAAAACAGAAAAAAGGCATTTTATTGGATAAATTCTTCTTCTTCGTCTTCTTCATCCACTGGTTCTTTGATGCACCTCATACGCCCACCCAGCGGCTGATGAAGACACGGCACAAAATAGGAACACGACAGCGCTCATCATTGAAACCATGGATAAATTGAGGAGCCACCTTGCAATCTTTGGCTTGTTATGGATATACACAGCGCTAAATGAAGCTGAAAAGGCGAACATAATGGATATGACGAAGCCATGGAAGATAGATGGAAGGCCTTTAAAGATGATAGTTGGAACTCGAGTTTTGTCAATGTACTCGTAGGGAAGCAAGGGTAGCGAAGAAGCTATGGCTGAGCTGATGATTAAGATACAAATTGAAATGGCCATTTGAGTAGTAGTAGTAGTACAGCTTGATGGAGATGAAGACTCATGGATGCGAGAGATAGAATGAGGAACAAGAATAAAATTTCTTGACAAGCTTGGCTTTTTCTCCATTGATCCTGTTTGGAACAAGGAATTAGTGAATGGTTTGAAAAAATTCATAGAAGTTTCATGATAGATATGAGATTGAAGAGATAATAGGCTTCCACATTCCTTGAAGTTTCCTTGGAAGCGGAGATTAAAAAGAAAAGAAAACGCACTGACATAAAGCCCAAGCACTGACAAAGTTTTAAAATAAAATTATCCTCCAGCAAAGAGTAACAATCTTCAATACTTTTACAAACGTCAAAAGTAAAAATTTCACCTACCAACCCATTCCTAAGTTTCCTGGAAGGAGCTCTTCATAATCCATACCCACCCATTCCTAAGTTTAGTTTCATGGAAGGAGCTCTTCAAAATCCATACCCCACCCATTCCTAAGTTTCCTGGAAGGAGCTCTTCGGAATCCTTATTGTGAATTTTACGTTACTAAATGGACATTTGACTAGTTTGATTTTTGCAACTTCAAGCTAGCCGTGGACATGGATATCTCAGCCCCTTGTTCCACTTCCCTTGAAGTCATCCATTTTGGGGATATCCCGAGCAACTTAATGCGGCCAGTTCTTTATCCCAATCCTCCTCCATGTGAGCAATCGATTAATGATACTGAGAAGAAAGGTTTCATGGTGAGTGTGATGTCTCGTTTGATAGCTTTATTGAACTGGACGCATGTGTCCCGGATGAATGAGCGTTCGCTTTTCAGTGACAGCTGGTATTCTTGTTGGACTGAGTCTCCTGTAGCACGAAAATCATATCTAGATGATATGAGAAGCCCGGTGAGGCGATCCAAAACCGGAAACAAGATTCCCAACACTCAGGTGTGTAATTTATTTATTTATTCTCATAAAGAATACAATCATGTTTTAGTTCCTCCTCCCTTTTTTTATTTTTCTTTTTAGTTTTTTTATTTTTTATTTTATTTTAATTTTTATGAAGACAAATGAAATAATGACAAACAATCTTCAATCTTTATCTCCAAAATTAAATTTGGCCTAGTTTTGAAAATGTTTATATATAACTGGCATCAATCCAACACTCTTCATTTGCATGCGAATCCCATTTGATGTACAATTGATTCTTTTTGTAGGGTAAGGTTGAATTATGTGTCAGCTCAAGTCTTTCAAGGCGAATAACTTTGGACACCATACCAGTTATGGTTCATTCCCATGAAGAGCTTGATCCATCACCGGATTTCAGAATGAATATGGCCAAACCCGACAACAGTTGTCATCATACAATGAGATTGGATGAAGGTGGGAGTAGTATACCACTTCAGCACCCGGGTGGTACTTTGCCTGGCGGGGTGAACGTTGGCTCTTCTCTCACGCGAAGTGATTGTAATGGCACCAGTCCGGTAATGAATCGTATCGAGGAAGAGCTGGCTGGGAGATCATCAGACGATGGCAGTACATCACTTCAGCAGTACGCGGGAAGTAGTGTTTGTCAATCAGCTGATGGGGATATAGAATTGGGGGGGCCTTCTCCGATCAGAAGTGTATCTTCTCAAAATACAGAGTCAAGTGATTCCACAATGAAGGTGGCGAGGGAAGTCCTTGCATTGACTGGTCAAGCTGCTGCTTCTTTCATGGTATATAATCTAAGTGGTCAAGATGCTAAACCTAAGTGGCCTTTCCAGTTTGTTGTAGCTGCAAATGGGATTGGGTTCATTAGCACTCTGAGTGCTACTTTTCTTCACTCAAAGAACAAAAAGGCTGCCAATATACTGGGGAAAGTTGGGGCTATTGCTGCAGCAGGTGGGATTGTTGTGGCAACCGGAATGTCGTTCCTTCCCCAGAACATGATGTGGGTAGCCGGCCCTCCAGTTCTCCTCCTCGCCATTGCCATAGCTTTGGCGTAACCCTATCTATGTAAGATTTGATTCGTAGTTCTTGTGGATCATTGTTACCCGAAATAACTTGTATGGTCTTCGTGTTGGGAAACGTGCTAGTTTTAAAAACTTTTCGAGGGATTTAAATTCATAGATCTTGATTCATCACATAGAGACAAGTTTTATGCAAAAAATAAAATAAAATATGATGTATTATTCAACTAAAAGATTGAATACTTACATCAAGGTTTGAGTAAACATCAGATCTCTCCTCTAAAGTGAATGTTCTCACTTATTGTAGATCCCTTTTGCTAGATGCATTCTCCTTGGATCTCCATCTTCTTGGTAATTGTTTTGCCTTTAGGAATCACTCATATGCCTCCATGAATGACCTTGGAAAATTAGGCTTGTGGGAGCCCCCATTAGATGAGAACATAAACCCTAATTTTCTAGAGAGAGAAAATTTATTCCTTTTTCCTTCTCATAAAAATCACCCCCTAAAATATACATAGACCATGTATATTTATAGGCAACATAAAAATAAAGAAAATGAAACAACAAATCCTTCTTCATCTCTAATTCATATGTCTCAAATCTAATATGATTCCAATATCAAGTTGGGCTATGAGTGAGAATCCATTGGGCCTATTATTTTATTGGCTACAATGAATTAATAATTGGCCCGGTCCATGGACCCAATTCAATTAATTCATAAATTAATTTCTACTCCACTAAAAGAAATTAATTGAACTCCAATTAAATAATAAATAACTTCTAAGTCAATATTGCACTTTGACCCCTCTATGCATAATTAGTTATCGGATAAATATAGCCATCAATCCGACTACTTAATTAATATATTTATTTTGGTACCTTTGATTATTTCTGGCTCGATCACAATAAAACATTTGTTTGACAAAAATAATAATTTAAATAAATAAATATATAATAAATCATTTTGTCTAAAAACACACGAAGGCCTTCGAATTTACTTTGTGATCAACCATAATCAATACAAAATAAATACAAGTAGCAATGATGCAAATATTGAAAATATAACCCTCTAACTATTAATTACATAACTACCCAAAGTGTCGGTCTAAGGATCCCGAAGAATCCGCCGAACAAATCAAAGTAATTATTAATTAATAAAAGAGTCTATACTTTTCTCATACTTAAGAGTCAAATGCCATGACGGTGATAGGGAGTAATTGCATACGACGGCTCTCGCAATATATCTCAACCTAACGCGGATCCAGTTCAAGTTTTAATTAATTATGAATCCATTCATAATTACCGACTATGAACAATTTATAATTACTATTTATATATCATGCATTGATTGCCATCACATACATATATATAAATATTTCTTGTAATTACATGGACACTATCAATTTCATAGTGAATCGAAACATAATACATTGAATTCACCAATTATATAAATCATAAATATTTCAGATATGTCAGGAACATATGTCACTATAATCCAGATAGGAATTTGCTATGCCAGGGCATATAAATCCCAACACTTCGTGACCGCATCATGTTCATATAATTGAGAATGAATTAGTAACTCCATCCAATTTCTAAAAAAATCCTAATCCTAGTCTTTCCACTATTTAATTTCACATTCTAACAATGTAAAATGTCTCATTTAATTGCCAAAAAAAAAGAGTTAGGATGCATAGGCTATTTGTCAGAGTGAATTCCTGTAAGCTCTGATTTGTCATATTTATTAAATACAAAGAAGTGAGGAATTCCTTACATGACCAATCAGAACTCTAGATTTAGACAATTCACTTTAATGGACCTAAAAATTATTTTCCTTTCCATTTTGCTACATGGCATAATATTTTAAATAAATAAACTTTTACATATAAGTTTAGCTTTCAAGCATCTACTACAAAGTCGCGGTGAATCCTTATTTACCTACACATGAACCATAATTGTAGATTTTCTAATTGAACCCTTTTTACAAGAAACAACTGTGAAAAGGACCCAAAGCTTAAGAAAAATAATAATTAAATCCCAACATCCATCGTTTTTATTTGTTTTAGTTATTTGGTATCAGAGTCATTTTACGAAAAATTGGGACCACCCAATTTAAAAACATTTGCATGAACATTAGTGACAATAACAGTTCAAAAATAGAGAATCAAATCAGGATTTTCAATTAGCTTAGTGAAAAATTAGAAAAAATCTCTCTAAAAAGAAAAGTTCAAGAGTTATCTAAAAAGCTAAATTCCATCAAGTTAGATGTAGAAGACAAAGTAAATTTTAAGAAAAGAAATCTTAAATCTAAATAAGAAATTTGACTATATAAGGCAATAAATAGATCATTTTGGGATTAATAATTTAGAAAAGAAAGTGGATCAAAATATTTAAAAAAACAAGAAAGATATTCGACTAGAGCTCAATTAACAGAAGTGGTTAAAGCTCTAGAAAACAGTATCAAAAATCTAAGTGACCAAGTAATTGGAGAACTTAGAACTAAAAATACAGAAATCGAAAGGATAATTACAAGTTTAGAGGATGACCCAGATCAACACAATCCTTTGGAAGAAAGAACTAAAAAATTAGCCAAGGTTATTTTCATATTCAAAATGACATCAAACCGTTAATTTAAAGAATTGGCAAAAAATTGTGAGCAATTTTCAAGAACAAGTAGACCAGAGATTATAATCTCAGGATAGTCAAGTCATAAAGGGCTATATAAAGGTTACCATTAGAAAAAACTCTTGAAAATTCCTAACTAGCTATGAACCAAAACAATTGATTAGTAGCAACTATGATTGTAACGGCCCAAACTTGGAGGTTCGGATCACTAAACGGGTCCTTTCCCCAACCCAAGGTCACGCAAGGGTACTATGGTCATTCCACGTCATTGTAATGGTTCTAGAGTCCATAGTGGCATAATGGTCATTTTCCATAGTCAAATAATGGTTTAAGACCCAAAAAGGGTAAACTAGTCATTTGGTACATTTACTATAGCTTCACAACTCGTTAGAGGTAAAATTGTCATTTTCTATGGCCATTCTATGCTTTGGTTGAAGTCCAGAAGTAATTAGGTAATTTTACTAAAATATAAAATCAAGGTGCAAATATCAGTTTATCTACTCGGTTAGAAGAAGATTTATTACCGGGGAGATGAATGGTCAAATAGGTGTGTAAAATTTCAGATCTCATCTAACCGGCTAGAAGATCTTCTATGATCTTCTAACCGGGTAGTTGAATGGTCTAGTAGGTACTTTTAAGTGTAGATCACATCTAACCGATAACTCTTTCTAACCGGTTAGGTGAAGAAAATCATCTAACTCCCTCTCTGCCCCATTTATCTAACCGGGTAGATGGACCCGGGTAGTTGAGCACCCAAATCCTATCTAACCGGTTAGATGGGAGAAACCCGTCAAACCCACGCACTATCCATTCATCTAATCGGGTAGATATCCCTATCTAACCGGTTAGATGATTCCAAAGGTGAAGTGATCGGGTAGATCATTTCTCTAACCTGTACAGATGCAAACCAAAATACATAAATATGAAATATAAAGATCCATGGACATCATAAACCTCTAAATATGCCATTGAATCATCAAAATAATATCTTTCATACATTTTTCGTGAATCAAAATCATCTTTAAAACATTCATACATATGCAAAAGAATATGTTTACAAAATGATGAGGCCTCCATAGCCATACATACAAAGGCTTCACTTGAAGCTTACAAAAGAATATGGTTACATTACAAGATCATTGTCTATGCTAATCGATCTATTACAAAAGATGTCAAAAATTAATTTCTCTATTTCTAAGCTTGTGGGGGTGTGTCGTCTACAACTTCCTTGTCATGTCCTGAAAATAATAAATAAGGGGTGAGCACAACGGCTCAGTAGGAGATGCCTAAAGCATTAGCTTTGGGCTCCCTTAAATTAACATACAAAGAATAGATAAAAGGAGTCGGGATCATACATGTGAATGTCAATAAGCCAAATCAATACCAACACACCGTCATGCAATGAAATGTCATGCTTTTTCAACCACAATCCCGACCTAACTCAACTCACATCGAAAACTGCTAACCGACTTTACCGAGGCGAGATTGACTATTATCCCTAGTCTTAAATTTGACGACCATATAGGGCCTAGTAAATCAATGTTACGCGTCCAAATTCGGTATGCGCTCCCTCTAGGTCAAGATTAGCACTAGACTCACGAAATCCAGTTTCTTTGATAAAACACTTTCCCACAACTATTCCCAAACACACTCTTCAAAATCAATCAACCACAAATTTCCCTTAAGATTATGTGCATGAGTTCATGCATTATAAACATAAAATTAACATGAGCAATAATCTCAATAAATACTTGGCATGCTTGATCTCAAAATATGACATATCATCCATTTCAACTCAAAATTTCAAAATAGCAACCTTAACATTTAAACACGCTTTCACAACAACAATTTGGCATTTCAAATACACACTTTAACAACACATGTAGCATGATTTCATTACTAAGTATAAAGATACCACATTAATTCTTTTTTGTTTCCCTCGTTGTTCCTTGCTTTGTTAATTTAATAACACCTTCAATACTTTGGTATGTAAATAATATGTATTTCTTTGTTAATCTACTCATCTTTTCATATTTATATATTTGTGAGGAAAGAGATCATCATTATATATATATATACATATATGAAAATAATATTAAAATTCGGATTTGAGTTGGGCTCGTGTTGGTAGCACCTTGTTCTAAACTCAAGTCCGACTCTAATTAAGTTTGAATTAAAAAATTTCAACCCAAATTCAATTCTATTAATAAAAATAATTATCCAAACTCACAAAAAATTGAGATGGGCTCAATTTGAATTCGAATTGCCCAGCTCAAGTTGCACCCTATCTTACTGGATAGTTGGGGTTAATCATGACTTCCCAAAACTTAAACAGCTCCTTAAGACTTTTGAGAAATCTCAAGCATTAATTAGTCGAAGGTAAAGTGATCCCTGAATTAATTTTAAGGATATTTAGATCCACATTAATCACCAAGCTAAAATCATATTGTTAATAGAAAGGAAACAATAAAGTGGGAAAAGGACTCGTTGACTGAAAGTCATTTAAGAAGTTCTATTGGGCGGTAATGAGAGCATGCATTAATTTACTGTCAATATATAGAGAGGTAATTTCCCATTTCT